CTCTGGTAACAGGGGTGTGTGTCACACGAGATGGGCATGGTGTGACTGCACCCAAATACAAATAAGAATACGGTACGTGGCTGGGTAGCCAGTCGTTATGCATGTATTTAGATTTTACAATATATATTAAGGAAAATCTATGCATTTAAATTCGGCGCTTTGCCGCAGATAAATATAAATACAGTCAGCTTTTGAATGTAAACGGAAGAGTTTATTAGCCTTGGGTTAGGGCAATAATTACTCTTGAAGTAAGCGAATTGCGATCCACTAAACCCGTTCTTATTCTAAGTATAGAACGAAAGGTCGGTGATCTAACTTACGCTTCCTCCATACGGCAGCCCCGCTGCATTGATCATCCACACACGTCTCGCCAAGCCTCCTGGTCGACTGAGGTTTTCAGCGACAGAGCAGGCGTTAAACACATCATTTGAGTTTTAAGACACAAAGTTTACTCATATTCTATGCAATGGGTTTTATTACCTCACCCTTGGTTGCGGAGGTGACGTGGGCTTTGTTTCCTCGACTCCCGGCCGCCTATATACCTTGCTAGTACAAAGAGCTAATGCTTTGTTGTTAGCAGGCGCTCAGTTGATAGGTAAAGCTGTCGAGGCGATCGACCCGCTTGATGCAAAAAAGTGCTGTCTTTGATCTCAATGTTGCGTTTGAAAGCTTAACATCACGATAAGAATAAAGGTGAACATTAAATATCTGTTTTAAAATTTCAATGCCGAATTTTTATACAAATAGAACCGCTCATTTATAATATGGACTACGAATAAAGGTGAACATTAAATATCTGTTTTAAAACTTTATTGCCGAATTTTTATACAAATAGAACCGCTCATTTCTAATATGGACTACGGCGAAGGCGAAGCCCGAACCGGCGATAGCAGTGGCGTATCCTCCACTTCCACGTTTCACTCAAAGAGCTTCGGAGCAGCTTCTCGACCTGTCGACACAAAAAATGTTGACAACTTGATTCGCCGGTTGACACCCGGCGAATCGACGATGAACGACTGGGTTCGTACCAATGCATTTGCCGACCGCAACACAATTGTAGATATGAGTCTTAGGCTTCCTCGATTCGTACTGTGTGTTGTGGTGGCCTTATTTTTTGCATTTGGCTTTGCGCTACTCACGAGCAACAAAAAAACTCTAACATACGTATACGAATACAAATTGTCCATTAACGAGACGCTATCAGCCAAGGCATCCTCCATCGTTGAGGACTACAACACCCTCTTTGGTTACATCCTATTTTCAGGCGGAAAAATCTTCGAAGTTTTTTGCGAGACACTCATCTTCCCCACACTGGCTACATATTTGCACAATTGCAGCTTGTATCCAGGAGATCAGCCAGCGCGGATGTACTCCGTTGTAAAGGCACGCTGCATCTTTTGGGGACTGAAAACAGTTATTATACTTATGAATGTTGGCTTTACCAGTGTCTATGTGGGTCAAACCACTCTTGAAGATGGGGATCCTTCGCGACGTCTAATTGTCTCAGACGCTTTATCAGCTTGGGAAACGATGGAATCGGTTAATATTCATGCAGACACTTTTCATACAGTTTTACGAACGTTGATGGTCGGTGCTGCGACTCCTTTTGCGTATAAAGAGTTTTGCTTATGGCCTTATTATGATGTTGATAACTCGAATGTAGCGCAGCAGTGGCGCATTTGGGCCAGCGAGTTGGACACCACATCCGTGAGCTTTAGTTTCCCATCTTACACATGGAATGCTGCACTGCTTTCATCACAAACAAACGTGCCGACCATGTCAGCAAAGATCCGATTAAAAGACTATCTGGTTAAAACTGAAAAGTATGCGATCTCGGACGACTGGGATATCTCTGAGCTGTACACTATTTATAGGCAGGGGTTTGATAAATTCGACTTAATCAGTGCTTCATACAAAAATGCGACAGCTCCTCAGTCACTTGAAAACCTGATTTATTTGATCGCGGCTGAATTAAAAGAAGCTTTGCCTAGTAGCCTTCGAGTTGGAGATGTGGCATTGAATCTGGAACTTCGCCAGCTGGCCGGTAACCTCAAATTTACTAGTTTGACTATATCAATTCCAGTTGAGGCAAATGGTATGGGTTCGATGATGTGCGGCTCAGTTGGTTGCGTATACGCCACATCGACAAGTGTTTTGAAGCAACTTCACCTTCAGCCGGCTATATCGATTGCACATTACGAAGGGGACGAAAATTCTGCCTTGTTATATGGTAGTGGAAGTCAGTTTATTAAGGAAAAGAGAGCAGCCTCCAAACCTCACGAGATGTTGACGCTTTCTTTGGGAAAATTAGCGTGGCAGTTGGACCGTGACCGTGCATGTGAAGATGATGTCAATCGACATTGTCTCGGTCTCAGCCTATCGCTTGGCGAAAACAACGGTATTCTGTCGATCAGAAAGGAAGCGCTGGCCACACAGCATGTATCGCATCCTATTGCCCTTGTCACGCTGCATCCAATTGTGATCCTGGATACGACTCGTTTTCACGACAATGAATTCGCGTCATGGTATCGACTTGTATCACCGGATGGATTGCTTGTGATTTCGAATACTTTTGAATGTAATTCGCTGGTTGATGCCTACCTGACTCATCTGGAGACAAATCATTTCTATTTGGATGAGAAGCTGTCTCTTGATATGTATTCTGCAGCATTGTTATATTTAGTTCAGCATGGAGTGCCAACATTGTCACAAAGACGCCTCGCTCTATCAGCTGTCACTGCTGATTTTGGTGAAAGTCCTGAGACCACTCTTACAACAGATATTGAAGTGAATGTGCCTACCGCGACGGCTCTTGTGACAGTGGCTGGATGTCTTTTCATCGTACTGCTCATGTTATGTGTAATTTACCTGCCAACGGCACGCGTCAAATTATCACCTGACACGACACCAGCCGCGCAGTACGTGCAAATTTTAACGGATGATCTGTACCCAGACGTCGTTTACAAAAAACGTTTGCGATTTGTGAACGGTGATTGTCTTTTGTTTAATGAGTATGTTGTTGATGCGATCGTGCTGCATGCCAAGCGCGATCACACCAAAAAAATATACCTGTGAGAATTTGTAAATATACAGTACAAATTATTTTAAGGAGAAAAGTTGTAATTTTTTGCCAGATATTGTGATTTCCAATGATAAATACTCTTGATGAGCGCCATTGCACCTTGCAAGATCTTCTTCACCAGAAATGTGCCGTATGCGCTAGGTAAGGCCTCATCTTAGACATGACACATTCGAGCTCCTTTATCTGTATCATATATTAAACAGAGCAACTTCGCCAGCGACTTGCCGAAGCCGGTGTCAATTCAGTCTTAGTAGAAACCTTTCCGTCAGAAGTGAGCCCTATTTCACGTGAAGATCTATTAAAAAAGGTGAAAGGATGCACGGGTCTGTTCTGCCTGCTGACTGACAAAGTGGATGACAAAGTTTTGGATGCTGCTGGTCCTTCGCTCCGTGTAGTTTCCACGATGTCTGTGGGCTACGATCACATTGATGTGGAGGCCTGCAAAGCTAGGAATGTGAGGGTGGGCTACACTCCAGAAGTTCTAAGCAACACTACCGCAGAGACAGCCGTTGCGCTAACGTTTGCAGCCAAGCGGCGGCTTTTTCAGTGTGCGACAAGCGCCAAGAACGGCGAGTGGGGTCCCTGGCAACCATTTCAATATTGTGGTTTCGATATCACTGGTAGTACAGTCGGCATTATTGGGCTTGGACGAATTGGTACATCATACGCACGTATGCTCATGAATGGGTTCAATTGCAGCATTCTTTACACGGGACCACGTCCAAAACCTGACGTTGCGAGGTCTCTTGGAGGTGAAGAGGGTTCCGTGAAATTCGTTGATATGGAGACGCTGCTGCGCAGAAGTGACATTGTAAGTCTGCATCAACCACTGACGGAAGCTACTCGTTGCAGTTTTAGCAAAAACGAGCTGAAACTAATGAAATCAACTGCAGTACTGATTAATACGGGCAGGGGGGGACTAGTGGATCAAGAAGCACTTGTGGAGGCGCTTCAGCAAAAGACGATCGCGGCTGCTGGTCTAGACGTCACTACCCCAGAACCACTCTCTCCAACCCATCCTCTGTTATCGCTCGATAACTGCATTGTGATGCCCCATATCGGCTCAGCCACGTTCAAGACTCGCCAAGCCATGGCGGATATCGCTGTTGCTAATCTTGTTGCTGGTGTTCTAGACAACAAATTACCGAATGAGATTAAATAGATTTCGAATGCCTTTTGATGATTCCATGCCAATTGTTAACATATTTGACATTTGTATTGCTTTTAAGTCGTGCGCCATCTAACTGCCGTATAATCGCGAAGCTATTGGTCCGACATCTGGGTGCTTCGAACGAATGTATCCTCTCTGCTTTACTTGGCGCAGATTCGACAAGTCAAAGTTTGCTCTGTTCAAGGTGCATGACAATTGTTGTCAGTTTGACGACCGAGTCCGAACAAGACTTTATCTATCTTAAGATAGATATGTGTAAACAAAACATGTTTATCCTGACACGCTTAACATTTTTTGGTCCGGACGGGCCAGCGCAATTAGCGCTTTAAGACCTAGCAAAGTGCGCTGGTTCAATACAGGAAAATCCAGGCATCTTTAGGAACAGAATTGAGCCTCACAGCAAGACCTTTCAACAAGGGACTTCTTTAAGCAGACTGGCAAAGGCTCTAGAGATTCTTCTAGAAACTTTAAAGTAATCTTATAACTATGGCAGCGTTGATTGCTGTTTGATTTTAAATTTGGGCTCATTGTACAATCTCATTCTAGGTATGACCTGGCACAGACGCCATGTATTTCTGCAAATATAAATTTCGAACGCTTCGTCCCCTTTCAGTGGAGTTTGTGAGTCATAAGCCCACATATTTGTGATGAGTCATAAGCCCACATATCGGTGCGGGCATGAGGGTTCGATAACTCATCAACTGTGTCTGTGTCTTGAGCTATTTTCGGAAGGCAGAACTGGCAGCAAGTTACAGTATCCAATTTTTTTAGCTGAATCATTGCACTTGATAGTTGGGATAAAATAGATCGGGTTAAGTGGGGGACAAAAGCAATTTTGTGTTGCAAGCTAGAACGACTTGGTGCTGAAGTCTCCAGGATGAGACAAGTGGTTGTAAGCGGCTGTACAATAGCCAGACATAGAAGTTTTTCAGAGAATAATCCACCTTGTAACGATTTACCGTTCAATCAGCCACACCGTGTGGAATCGTGAAACTGCACGTATTCATGGGGAGTATATTTACTCACTCGTATCGGTGTATTCGAAGGGATGTATTTCTTCCTGCGCTTTGTCGTCGGAGCTCCCGTGTAGGTTGAACTCTTATCCTCATATGATATGTGCGAGATGGTGAGATTTCTGATTGGTATGGTTTGTATAGGAGCTGAAATTACCATATCATGTGTCAGTCTGTCATCATGGGTACTCTCATACTTCATAGTGCGAGTAGTGAGGCGGCTACCTAAGTAATTTTAGGAATATTTATTATCCTTGTTGTCGACTATCACAACGTGAAACGTGGATACTATCCTCTGATCGGAGAATTTATCATTTAACTAATCGGGGATCTGAACCAAATACTACACTGCACGTCAAATGACCACCCATGACAAGAAAATGTTATGTCATAAATGCGAAGCACAAAGTGGATCTGTTGGAATCGACATAAATCCTCCAGACTCGGCGCTTAATTTCTAGATTAGAAAGGTAAAGACAAGTAGCGAATCAGGATTTTCTACGGCAGTCTAAATGCAACCACTTTTCGGGCGCGAACGACGATCTTCAAGAAGGATGTTCTGCAGAGCATAGCTGCGTGCACCTTGCTCAAAGCTCTTGGCCTAGTTGATAAAAGGTATCAGCCGCCAATGAGAAACGGTGATAAACATATTTTTTATCGTAAGTACTTCATGTTGGTTGCTTTAAATAATGACCGGCTATACCTGGATAAGAGCGACATTGTATTGTCTGGCAATACAGAGAGTCAGGCCGCATGAATCATATGGCTGTAGCAGTTTCTATAGTTCATTCGCTCATAGTCGTACAGGTCACGCAGAGTCAGATGGGTAGATCCACATCAAATAACTGAGAGTAGCACCCGAGTCTATGTGCTTGACAAAGCACTCACTTGCTCACATATATAAGTATGTTTGTAAGACCATCAAAATCATTTTTAAGATGATTCATTAGAAGCCGTGGCTTGCGAAACAATGTGCAACGAAGGCCAGGCCTCCTAGACTGGCCAGTACCGCTATCTCAAAACTTCTCAGTGAAGCGAATTGACAAAACCGACCACTCCCACAAAGTAATGGGCTACACTTAGCCATTACGTGAAGGTAGAATTATGACCTTTGTTTGCATTGTGGGAATATCTAAAAGAAGACTACAGTATGGTGTTTTCAAATACATACGTGATATCTAATATAAAGTCGCAGCCATTTTGTGTGACACAGAATCGTGGCTCTTACTCTGAGTTATGTACTGGTGACGAGACCGACGTGCCTCTGTTTTTTAAAGTGGGTGGCGTAAGCCGATCCTTTTTACTGGATACCTTCCACGAAAGTTGTAGTTTATTCTTTCCGAGGTTCAAGCTCCGTACACCCACGATCTTGTATAAGTTGAAGCTGATGTTCAGCCTCAGTTCGCCCCGATTCATAAATCAGGAACCCAAGAGGTTATAAGTAAAACCTTTAGGAGCCCTTGATGTATTTTGCATGTAGCTATGAGCCATTCAGCTGCAGTTGTAAGGTCTTAAGTCGGTCTTCATCCCTCCAAGTTGGAACTGTCCTTCCCCTTCCACGTCAAGAATCGCCTCTCGTCGCACAAGCGTGTGTCTTGTGCTATAGAAACGTTTACGAACAGTGCCCTCTTACACGTAGTAAGCGGTCTTTTCAGCGACACTCGTATTGGATTGGCGACGCGGCTGTTGAGCACGTCACGCATTCCAGTCCAAGCCGTACTGCTGCCCTTTTCCGAGCGACATGGAAGGAGTTGGGGTTCCAAAGAAGAGTTTAGCATCAAGCAAGCTAAGTTAAATGATGTCGTGCCAAGGCAAGGGCGCCAGTCGATTGGGACATGTGTTGGTCCAAAGCCAATGGACATCTCGTATATTTCCGCGCGCGGAAATGAGCATCCTCGCAAAGACGTAAATTTTTTTCGTTGTGGGAAGCCGCGCCATATTACCCGGAACTGCAGAGTGTCTTTGCCGAGTCAACAACAGACAGGGTGCTAGTTCGGATAACCACGGATGCTATAAATGTCGTCAGTTCGAACGCTTCTAAGGCTCAAAAACAGGAACAACAAGTAGGCACGGGGATCCCTACTGGGCCCGAGAAAAGTATTGTGGATGCTGTTGATAACAGAATTCTAGCCTCAAGTGCATGATGCACACAATGATTTGAATAGTCAGGCAAAATGCTACTTTGATTGACCAAGCGTCTTTGTAGATGGTATTGAGAAGCCACTGCGAGCTTTGACTGACACTGGTGCGTCGAACAACTATATATAAGCGCAAGTTATGACTGGGCACGATGCTAGCCTGCCCAATGTGAAAAAAATGATCATTTGCTTACGAATGAATCTGGAATGAATATGCCGAAGCAAATCATTCGCTTGGCAAAGAAGTTCGAGGATTTTCGAGGTGAAGACAACTTTATACTACTCACCTCGATGATAAGTTTGACGATATCCTAGGTTTGCCATGGTTGCAGCGTTATCAGCCTAGCACTGACTGGATGAAAATAAAGATCGGCGTCAACAAGTCGTGCTGCGCTAACTTGAGCTGCATGACGACGAACAAAATGGTATGGACATATGCATCTGTTGAAGAAGTCACAGACGTCCTATATGATATAGTGGCGTGCGATGCCCCCATGTTTCTAGAGCAAGCCCAAAAAGACGAAAGTAACGACACAACTGGAGGTGGAGAAGTCAGGCGCCAGAAAATGACTGTCTTTCCAGCTATCGACATGAAAGTCATGGTCGATGGTAGTATGAAGAATAGTGGGATCATAGGCAAAGATGCATCCTGTGAGAAGAATAACGAGGCCATAAAGAAAAAATTTCCATCACGATTTTGCGCGCCCTAGAGTATAAGCTGTTATGGTGAAGGAATGAATAAGAACGAGACACTTCGAGCGATTCCGTAAAAGCTGTGGCCTAGGGTTTAGGCCTAGGCCACAGCTTTTACGGAATCGCTC